TATGGGTGAGTCATGAGGAAAGTTGGTTGCTTTGGAATCCATAATGGGTGAGTTGGCATTAAATTCATTTATTGCATTTACTTAGGTGTCTATATAAAATTTAGAATAATTAAAATCATTAATTAACTTAATTCAAGTAACTAAAACTACTTTCTTTCATAAAAATTCGGAATTTCTTTTCCTTCCCAAAATTCCAGCGAGTGTTTCCTCCTAACCCATCTATACTAAAATGTGCATAACTCTTTCTATATGTATCAAAAAATTATGAAATTTTATAGAGAGCTAGTAAACACATAGAAAAACAACTTTTATTCTTTAAGTTTTTCTCAAAAATCAATCTAACAGCATCAAATAAATCTCACAAGATTCGGGCAGATTCTTCTCCCAAAATTCCAGCAGAATGCATTTCGAAACAACCCTCACTATAATTGGTATAACTCTTAATGTATAGGCCTAAATATTATAAAATTTTATACAGATCCATTCAACACATAGATGAACAACTTTCATTCTTTAAGGTTGACCTAAAAAGTACCCTAAAGTCCTCAAATAATTCACACAAAACTCGAGCAGAATATAGTCCTTAAAACACTCGATTTTGCATATTTGATTTCTTTAATAATTAAACCATTAATCTTAAGCACAATAACTTTAATTTAACATAAATCAGATATTTCAAGCATTAATTTCTCATGATGAAATGATAATTATACTTACTCTTAATATACATATATATAGAATTATTCTAATACACGTCGCGTTATGGATAAGGGTTTTTACGAGGGTTACAACTATAGTGTTACTATTTGAACTACTGTTCACACTCTTACAATTTCCTATTCACCCTCTCATATTTTACTGTGCGTTTCAATATTCATGACTTTTTTTACACTTTGATCCCCGATATTTTCGAAAGTATATTTCGATCCACATGTTCATTTGATCATCCATTTTGATCCTTGGATGGAGAGAGAAAGCCGAGAGGAAGAGAGAGACGAGAAGAGAGAGAGATCGTCGGTCAACCTTATTTAGGCCACTTTGGTCGATGAAAATCCACTAGATTTGTTTATCTTTGAAAGATGAGTTTGTCCATGGTAGTTTCAAGCCATTAAACAATTAGAGGAGGTAGATCGGAGCCAAAAAAAGAAAAAAAAATTCGACTTGATTTTGTATTTTTCTTTATTTTTGTGTGTATTAAAATAATTTTTAAGGTTTTATATGTGTTCATTGGCTTTGTTATGATCGTTTAAAGGTGTTGGGAGAAAAAAATGATGCCAAAATTCAATTTTTAAAAGTTTGAAAGTTGACTCTCGATTTTTCGACAAACTTCCGACGACTTTTAGTTCGTCGAAGTTGTATAGTAATTTTTTTTTTGGGGGGCGAGGCAAGCTTGGCGTGAGGGCTGCACTGCACGAGCCAACTACACTAGCCTCCCTCAATTATTATTATGTTTTTAAAATTATGTGCGGTCCGGTTGCATAAGCCAACCGAGTGCTTATATATATATATATATATATATATATATATATATATATAGAGAGAGAGAGAGAGAGAGAGAGAGAGAGAGAGAGAGAGAGAGAGAGAGAGAGAGAGAGAGAGAGAGAGAGAGAGAGTATCTAATTATATTAATTTTATTGTGATTTAGCCCATTTGTTTTAAGTTGTTTTATTATTTTTATTATTTTAAATCTATAAATTTAATTTGCCATTTGTTTTCAAATTCTTATCCAATTAATTTAAAATTATCCATTTATTTTAATATCATCCATTCTTTTCTCATCTAATTAATTTAAAATTATATGGTCCTCAATTGTTTTTAATATAATATGTATTTTTTTTAATTTCAAACTTTAATGGTATTGTAATTTGATCCCGTTTTGTTTTAGTGTTTTTTGTTGATTATTTTTATTATTTAAAATTTACTACTTTAATTTGTCAATTTTAAAAAATTCTCATCTATTTACTTTCAAAATTTAAAATATTTTTTTCACCTTTGATTTTATATATTTTTATACATTCACATCATAAAACAAACTATCAAATTAAAATGATTTTTCTAAATAGTTTTGTATATTTTATTCTACCTGCAGCATAACACGGGTAAAAAACCTAATTATACTCTACTTATAAATGAGTGACACATGGCATGTGGCTTTCTCAATACAGTAAAACCATTTGTATATATATAAAAAAAAAGATTAAAAAATGATTTAAGTAATAAAATAATAATAATAAAAAAACAAGTAGCTAAAAAGACCAATACCCCACCCCCAATTAGAAGGCTTTACTCTTTTTCTCTTAAAGGGATTCTCTTTTAAATTTTCACAGAAAAGTCTCAAATAGATTCTCTTTGAATTTTTCACACAAAGTAAAAAAAATTATTAATTTTTATACCATATCAATATTTTTTTATTTGAAATGAGAGTGAGATAAATAACTTTTCTAATATTTTAAATTATGATAAGCATTAGGAGTTAATGTTTAAGATCAACGATGTGATTGATTTATGAGGTAATAGAGAAAAAATTAATAATGTTGAAAATGATTCTCTAAAATTAAAATTATGTTGATATATCGACAAAATTGCTAGTGCATGAGAAAAATATATTATGTGCTAGAGTAGTTAACATGAACTCTAAACGATGAGTTGTGATTTTCTCCTCGTCAATTGGAGGAAGAGATTTGTTGGGTCTTTTTGATATAGGTCCAATCCATGAGTGACTTTAGTATAACCCATTAATAGATTAATTAGGAAAAATAATTAATTAGAAAAAAGATTGAAATTGAATATAAAAAAATGACTATTGTGAAACTAGAAAGAAAGAATTTCTTATTTTATTTTTTCTATTTAGCCCATACATGCATACATATAAAAGAAAGCGTTTAAATTTTTTTTTTCTCATACATTTTTCAAAATGGGAATTTATTCTTTTTACAAATTCTATAAAAAGAAAATAAAAATTTTTGGTGCACAAAATTAAGGTTTTCACTAGCATTGTTTTTTAGGTACTATAATTACAAAGAATTGCGATGTTCAAGATAGTAATCTCATACAATATTAAATTTCGTTGAAACATGAAGATTTTATGAATTTTAGATTTTTGTGAGAAAATAGATTTAAATAGAAAAACTTAATTAATTGTATTATTTTTTTTAATTATAGTGGATTATTTCGAAATTGATCTTGTGATTTTTTCTCAACGACAAAGATAGTTTTTAATGATAATTTTGTGTTCTTATGATTGATTTATTTTATATTTTTAATTATTTTATGTGATTGACTTAATTATTTTTATATGAAATGAGATTGAATTTTCAACATTATATGACATGTTTTCTTTAGCTCTATCAACCAGCCAGCTAGCTAGTTTTTTTTTTTTTGATAGAAAGCCCAACTTTATCAACGAGAGAAGAACTCAAAGGTGAACTATATCTCACACAAGCATCAACAATAAATAATGGTGGGCTATCTAACCAGATTTCTTTCCAATTAAGGAGAATAAAATTTCGCATTTTTTTTACAAAATTAGAACGTTCTAATCTTTTATGTCAGTTTTACTAACTGGGCTTACTAGCTTGCTCCGCTAATTGGTTTTTATTGTTGAAATACTATAGCTAATTAAACTCATAATAAATCAACCTAAATTTGCACTGTTCTCTGTTCAATTCACGCCAAATTTATTTTCAGTTGGATCGTTGAATTCAAATTTCTACAAAAAGTGTGTTTTCAGAATTGTTGTTTACCTTTTCACACTTAAAATTTAAAATAATATTTGCATCACATGCTCACTGTATTAGTATTGGATCAAAAATTAAAATAAGAACTGAAAATCAAATCTGCTAAGTTTTTTTTTTTTTTTTTGACATAATCGAATTTATTGTTCATAATTGATATATAAATAGTTGAACGTTGATACAAACTCCAATATTAGACATTTAAGTATGTTCTTGCTTTCTCTAACATTTTTTTCCTCTTCGAAATCCACTATTTCATAATGGCAATGCTGCCACAATAATTTTACCGGGGAAGGAATTGGCATGCTAATTATTTTTCATTTACACGGAAAAGGAAAACCGGCATGTTGCTTGCTTTCTAGCTACAGATTTTTCACTGGAGGTCTTATGTTGAATAGGGAAGTTATATAACTAAAAACAGCAATCCGTTGGGATGCAAACAGGTTCAGTTTTACTCCGAACCAAGTGCAGGATAGTTTAATCTACGATCCAATCATCGATATCCAAATAACCAAGAAATAACTGAACATTATTTAGTACTGTGCTTTTAATTTGTTTTCAACACGAGTAACTCAATTCTTATGTTTTTCCATTTGAACTTATTCGTGTGAGATAGGAAACTGATCAATATCTATTGCAGGGGACCCTGGTATTTTTATGGTGTGAATACCAATGAAAATTGATCGGTAATTTGACTTTTTTATTTGAATATCTGTAAATTAATTTGTCTACTTTAATTTCTATATTTTATTGGTGAAGTAATTTTTGTTGTAATTATTTGCAAAATATCGATATATCGATTAAGTATTATTTGAAAAAAAATACAAAATAAAATAAGTAAAAATATAAAATGAAGAGCGAGAAAGAAAGGGAGGTGAAGAGAAATGTCCAAACCTGCATTTTAGTTATGCGTTGCTGTCAGATAACAGCCACATCATTGAATTACTAACATCTGTTACAAAATGTACTTCATTGAAATGGATCAAGCACTCAGTAGAAAAGAATTAAGAGCTAGGTACCTAAATAGAAAACAATAAGAATATAGGTACTAAATATGAGGTTAAAGAATGACCAGAGTCGTGACTCTTCTTTGGCAGGTACAGAAAGAAACTCTTCTCTTGGTTCTTGTTTACGTTTCCGCACTCACTTCCCTCTCTGCGTCTATTGCCATGGATCGAGCACAGATCTTATTGGTAGGATTACCTCTATTTCTTTTATGCACTGACCTTATCCACCTCTTCACTCCACCACCTCCCAAACACTCTCATGCCCACCTGCACCCCCACCCCCCACCACCACCACCATCACAAACAACCACCAATGGTTGCCCATGAATCCGTAGAAACTCCATCGCAGGTGAAGTATCAAATGAACGTTTTTATTCTTAGTAAAATCTCAATAGAATTGTAATACTAATTAATTTTGTGGGGTTTGTGTCTCTATTGCAGAAACCAGTTGTTGGAGGGATTGGTCTTGGCAGCACTGTCAAAATTGACTTTTGCTCTTCTTGCTCTTACAGGTATCTATAGATTCCTTGAATCTGTCTTGTTCTCTTAAGCTTTTTGGGTTTTGTTTATGTTTACGGGATTACAAAACCCCAATTGTAATTTGATCTATTGATTAAGTAAATATGGTCAACTTAATGGATTTCCCTGTCTTGAGAATGTGAAGAGAACCCTTGATTTTCATGGTTTGTTTAGTGGTTGTTTGTGATTTATGTTGAAATTTGGTGAACTCTGCATGACACTTTATTTTATGCTCTCGTAATCTCATTAGCAGTAATTTAGGTTTTGGTTTTGATGGGATTTATTTGGTTTGAGCTGCTATTGATGCCTGGATTACTATTTTGTGTTGCTCTCTGCAGAGGGAATGCGGTAACGATGAAAAAGATGTTGGAAATGCAGTTTCCAGGAATTGATGTTGTGCTTGCAAATTATCCCCCATCCCTGCCGAAGCGGGTGGTAGCCAAATTAGTACCGGTTTTTCAGATCGGGGTTATGGGAATTGTGTTGGGTGGTGAACAGATATTTCCGATTCTGGGACTCATGACTCCACCTCCTTGGTATTATTCTTTACGTGCCAATAAATTTGGGACCATTGCGTCTACTTGGCTTCTTGGCAATGCATTGCAGTCCTTCCTGCAAAGCTCTGGGGCGTTTGAAGTTTACTGCAATGATGAATTGGTTAGTGGCCTATTGCTTGAGCATGAGTTTGAATTTTCAGTTTGTTCCAATAGATTTCTTTTTGGCCATTGGATTATCTGAAAGCTTCTGCAAGTTCATTGTGATGATCTGTTGCAAGAGGGATTTTATGCATTGGCCACTCGTCCTATTAATAGGATTACGTGCTCTGATAATCAATGTTTACAGTCGAAACATGGGTTGGATGGTCTATACTATTTAATCAGATACATTTTTAACCCAGCAGATACCATTAGTTTCCAAATACCACCAATGCCTTTAGGAGTCAGTATCTAAATTTTCAACTTATTATTGTGCTGAGCATTTGAGAATCTTAGTTCAAATGTTTTATTTAGTTGCTTGACGAAGTTGAACCTTGATTTGAATTTTGTCAAGACAAATAGATGGAAATTTCCTTTCTTAATCTTATTTTCTCGTGAATTGCAGATTTTCTCCAAACTGAGGGAGGGCAGATTTCCAGGAGAGATTGAACTAAAAGATCTTGTTGGCAGAAGGTTGGCTAATTCTGGCATTTCTGATATGTCGTCCTAGTTATCTGCCACCTACGTGGGGTTGAATTTGAAACAGGTGGTTGTAAGCCTACTGGTATACTGTCTGGAAGGCAGGGTATTATAGATGTAAATTTGAACCTGTATGTATCTCTGTTGAGAATCCATATCAAATCAGATTTCTATTGTAGTTTATTGTTGACTTTCCGTTTATTTCCTTGATAATTTAGGTTGTAGTTTATTAAGGACATGGCCTGGATTCTTAGTTTGCACTAAGATTCCTATAAATATGTAACCCTATGTGGCATTTTTATTCAAGTATCAATAACAAATCAAAGCCTTTGGCGAATTCTGGAGGTCGCTCCCTTTTGAAGTGATCGATCTCTCTTATTTTCCCTCTTTTAACTTTCAATTTTCCCCAATTTTCTTATGATAAAACCCTAGAATGCTACCACTTTCAGAGAATACCAACCATGTTGATGCTTTGATGTCTTCAATTGCTATTGTCAGTCAAATCAGCTAACCAGTTATGCTACTTTCAAAATGCATGAAACTAAAGGTGAGAAAGTTGTTGCTTTCCTTGTTTCACCAAATGGCAAGAACGTGACTTCAAGTCGAGCATGCGGTGTAGGCTGCTCGTTACAAGCTTGATTCTTTTTTCTTTTTGTTTCTTTGATATTCCAGGGCCCAATTTTGTAGCTTCAAAAACCCATTAGCATGATTGAAGGGCTTGGGGACCCGCCAGCACAAAAATTTGACAAACGTCTTAGAATAACAGTTCTTGGACCTACGGTTAGAAGTTTCGCTGGCTAACCGATGAGAGGAATGTGTAGAAGTCAGTAGAAGTTCTTGCCAGGTTCGGAGGTGCAGGAATTTCTAGCAGGACAACTAGCACGTGTTTGCATTCCAAATCCCATGCCTAATTTCACATCCCTCCTCATCAAACTGCTAGCACCGTGACGTCTTTCAGAGTTTCAAAATTGGCTAAACCCATCATTTACTTCCTGTATTTTTACATAAATTTATCAAATAAATCCCTACATCACCATCAAACTGACATTCTCTGGACTGAGAGAGCTCAGGTTCCCATTTTCTTATTTTAATAGTTGGTTCGTGACCATCGATCTGTCGGAACGAAGCGGGTGTGTTTTCTTTGTTTTGTTCTGGTTGCCTTGACCAGAGGGTTAACAACCCGTTTAGAATGAATCCTATCCGAAGACAAAGTTTTCCAGACAGATGATGCGCGGGAATTATTTTAATTTCAATTAATTGAGTATAATTTTGAAAAATTGATAAATTTTTATATACTATGTCGAATAAAAAAAATATAAATATTACCAACGAAACTCGTGCAATATTTATACTATATTTTTATTCGTATAAAATTATCAATTTTGCAAACTTATACTCAAATTATTGAAACTGAAAATACACAAACTAAAAATGCATGTGTTTAATTAATCAAATTAAAAACACATGAGCTTATTTGATGAATTTATAAAAATACAGAATGCAAATAATGGACTTAAACTCCTGTCCTTTGCATAATTTATCAAATGCTGGCAAGTACCGTGCAAAGGTCTGCTATCTATTTGTAGGGAGCAACAAATTCGAAGCACTAGAACAAGAACAATGTTATTCGGTGCATAATTTATTGGAACAAACTTGGATTCTTCAAAGCAGTGAAATGAATGTACAGCAATTCAATATATTCTTATAAAAAACTTTAAAAATTTGATCTGGAAAAAGCAGCAGCCAAAGTAACTAGCAGATCAAGGGCGAAGGAAATATACATCTCTTTCTAAGAAAGTATGTGGCTATCGAAGAAGAAAAAAATACGAGGCTGATAGGTAGATAACAGAAAAAACAAAATGACTTATTAATACCAAGACACAGTTTATGTTGTTCATGACTTTTTGAGTCAGAGGCCTGGCCATGGTAGCCTTGAGTTATTCAATGTCTTCCTTCCAGATGAATGGTAGGTTTCCCATGATAAAATAATAGTTGAACCTGAACAACTGCAACCTGGAATCCAACCTTCAGGACGTGAAAACAAAATTGAAATAAAAACAATGGATAAAAAAATTAGCTCCAGAGATTGAAACCTGTACCTGTCTTCATCGTTATATTCTGCTTATATCACGACCGAAGACAAATGTTGTAGCCCAGTTAATAGCCACATAGAACCTATTCCTCCAGCTTATAACACGAGTTAGGTATGCAGAACGCCATATAAACCAACTAGTAAACCCTTTCAGAGCCAATCCTTTTGCCTCCTGCAGAAAACGTTCCACAAGTGAGTCAACTGAGTTCATCATATAACAGCTCAACCAAGAAGGCTTGAAAGTGAATGCAAACTCACTTTGCTCTGTCTAAGATCTACAAGTGCCTTGTAGCGACCAATAGTTGCCATGCTTCCCAGATGCCTGTAAACAAATGGATCCCCAAATTCTATGTCTTTATCACAGTTTCTGTGCCCTCCACCATCTTTACCAATTTTATTCAATAAACTTGCAAGATATTTTCCTTGTCGCTCTGCCACCTGTAGAAGAAAACTCAACAGAGAAACATATCAAAGAACCACAATCAGTTTTTCATAAATGAAGAAACACTAGCAAGGCATCACAAGCAGAGTTGATAGCCACCCACAACTGCACTAACGATATAAAAAGAAAGTCGGCACTTGGAATCATACAAATAGCTTAGTTACAGAGATCTAATTAATTTAATTCCTGCAATCATACCAGGTCTATTTCTTGTCAAGAGGACAGGCTTCAGAAATGAAGAGGGACAAAGACTTGAAAAGTCAAATCATCTGCTTATTGAGCTAAATTGACAGGAGTCTTTAAAACAATTTCCTAATTGTTCTAGGAATTTATAATAATACCTGCATTAGTAAATTTTAGCTTGAAACTTGTTGAATTAGGAGTCAACAAGAAATTAAAGAAGGCTTATATTGTTGTTAGTTCACCTGAGCCAACGCAGGGAGAACTGGTCTGCTAGTACTTTCAAGAAACCCACTGCAGTCACCAATTGCAAAAACATCTGGCACAGAGGGAACTCGCAGCCACTCATCAATACCAATTCTGTAAATGTACCATAATGATTAGGAAAAAAAAAAAAAAAGACCACGCCAGTTAAACATACTTCAAGAATAGAAACTAGCTTTGGCAATGGAAAGGGATATGGAACATTATGGGATGTCCAAAAGTAATATCAGTGCATCTATGCAGCTTTTTGAAAGGAAGAACAAATCAGACACATATGGATAACCATAGAAGGCGAAAGGAGAGCTATAGTTAGAGCCACCTTGTGAAACATCTATCTAACCATCAACTTGAGGAATTACCATCTTATCCATACACTTCCAGAACAAGTATACCAATAAGTTGGCCTCTTCTACAAAGAGATTATAACAGCCATGCATCTAAATTTATATCAGCTGAAAACTTAATTTGTCATGGAGAAAGAGTGAGTTACCGTCCACCAGGAGACTTAGGAAATTCCAGAGATTTTACAAATGGTGAGGGGCCAACACCTGTAGACCACACCAGCAGACCGTATGGAACCTCTGTGCCATCTGTAAGAATTAGCTTCTGAGATTTAACATCCTTGACAACCCCACGGACAAGACGAACTCCTGACTGAGAAAAACAGTAATAGGAAAAATCCCTTAATAATCGGATTACCAACTGGTTCCAACAGTCAATATAACATAGTTATAAGAGAAGTTCCAAATGCTTTATACAAGCTGGTACTGACCCCTTTCATTAACATATAACTAAGAAAGATCAACATCATGGATAATCTTCTTAAATAAAGAGACTAAATGATGCAAATAAGATAGGGCAGCCTGCAATTTTTTTGCAACATTTAAATACATCTAACCTTTGTCAACTGCTTAGTAGCATAATGACGAAGGCTATCATCGAAGGAAGACAAGATCTCATTTGCCTGTGAATAAGAAAACAATTCTCTCAATCCCATCATATATTAATGGCAATTCTGAAATGGAAATTTAGCAAAAGAAAATCCCTAATGAATAATCCCAATATCAATAATGAATTGTTTTCAAATGAACACTTGAAGATAATATAAAGAAAAATTCTATATAAACACAACTAATAGCTTAAATTCATAACAAGCAGACCTCAATCAAAGTAACATGGATATAATCTTTCACATGGGCATATCTTTGACGAACATCTCTCATGATAAAATCACTGAGTTCACCGCTGAATTCAACTCCTGTGGGACCACCTCCTACAACCACACAATGTAACAATCTGCTCTTCTCTTCTTCTGAAATACCTGTCTCCGCCCCAAACGAAAAAAAAAGAAGAAGAAGAAGAAGCCCCATCATATTACACAAACACACTTATCATATAAATTTATTTCCCAAAAAAATGTTTTTTTTTTCAAAAAGAAAAACAGCAATGCCGTTGCATACCAGGCATCTCGGACAGCATCAAGTTGAGCAGTAGCTTCCTGCGAATTTCCTGAGCATGGTGAACTTCTCTAAGAAAAATAGCATGCTCTTTCACACCCTGAATTCCGAAGGTCGACGCCTCAGCTCCCATTGCAACTACTAACTTATCATAAGAAATTTTAAACTTCCATGGATCCACCGTGTCCAACCCATCAGTAACTGTCTCACAATCCACCTTCAATAAATACAAACCAAATTATACCATTTTAATTGGAAAGTCTAGTAACAGGCCACAATTGATTTAATTTCCTACTAAAAAAGTGTGCAAAGAAGTCATTTGATATACTCTCTTCAAAAACAAGAAATCATTACACGGATCTGGTCCATCATCTAAGATTATGGACCAAACCAATAAAGCTATTACAAATAGTTAAACTTGGCCAAATCATCTATTTAGTAAACTGTGAATCTTTTCATATCTAATAGCACCATTCATAATTGTAGAATGAAATAATTAAGAATTCATCCATAACAAAATGATGTAAACAAATGTAATAATGCATAAAGATATTACTTTGGTTTAGATGGTGAATTATAATAATTTCTCTAAAAAAAAAAAGATAAAACACATTGTTTAAAAAGAAAAAGTAACCAAAAAAAAGTAAACATTTTAGGGAAAAAAAACAAAAGGTACAAGTCTTTTAAAAAAGCGGAAAGAGAAAAGATCACATTACCGTGTGTTTCTCTGCATCAAGGCCAGTACAATTAGCAAGAAAAAAGTAAGATCCAGGTGCTTTCGAAATGGCAGGTTGGATCCGACCAATGGGTTCAGCCACGGACCTAAACTCCAAAGTCCCAACACAAGTTGAAGCCAAGAGAGGCGTGAAAACCATGTGGTTTCTTGGCGAGACACAAACGACATCGTATAATTCAGTGTCTAATCCTTTCATTAACCTACATCCTGCCCAACCAGAGCCCAGCACCACGACTCTCGGCTTCTCATCTCCCTTCGTGGGCTCAAGACCCGCGTACCGCGTCAGTGACGGCGAGGTATGCGTGTCGGTGGTGAAGTGAGAGAGTGAAGTGAAGAGGAAGTTTGGGTTTGTTAAGAGAGGTTTGGATTTGGAAGTAGAGTGTTGAATTAGATTTCTAAAGAGAGACATGATTTGATTGTTTCTTGTTTAGTACTAGTATTTGTTTTGCATTAGAGAATTAAGGATGTTTTCCGTTTTTGTTTTCTAGGTTCCTGCGCCCAAAAATTTAGGAGATGTGTGGTGCGTCCCTGTATTTTCCCAATTTGACTTGGATTGGATAGATGGGACCTTTCATTTGGTGGCAGAAGTTAAAGAAGAATGATGGAGGCAAGCACGTGCTCTGCGACAAACATGTGGCTGCTTAGCAAAGATCATCAGCCGCCCTGCCCTGCCCTTCTATTATGTGAATTTGGTCGAATTGACCCCTCTATCATAAACTTTACCAATCAATCCCTATGCTTCCTATTTTAGGTAAAAAAAAAAAAAAAAAATTAGTTCTGGCTTTCTGCCGTTAGTTGATCCATTCCAAACTCCTAATCATACAATGTATCATTCGTCAGTAAAAGGTGAGATTGCATCTTTTTAGAATGAAATTAAAAAGAAAAAGAAATATATAAATCTTAAAGGATTTTAAAGTCTTTTTCATAAAGAGGACTTAAATAAATAGAAAACCAAAATCCACTTTATATTTTTATTTTTTTTAAAGAAAAAAACACCATCCCTTTCCATCCAAATACAAAATTCCCAATTCAGTTTTAAACTGAAACTCCTAATTGTGCAGCCTTCGCGGCTCTATAGAAGCTGTTCGTTGCTCTTTTTTTACAAGACATCTTCAGCTTTGGGATATTCAGATTCTTCGAAATCTTTTTCGGGTTTTACGTTCTCTCAAGGAGGGTAGTCAGTATGCAGACTTCAGCGGTCAAAGGAAAATGTGATTTTGGAGTGTTATCAACAATTTACTTGTACGTAGAAAGAGTTCCAGTATTTTGTGAATCCTTTCTTAAGGAATTACAATGTGTGCCTTAACTCTTCCGATGACCATTAGTTACACCAGAGTAGGAAAGTTTCCCCTTCAGAAATCAGGCTTTACCTTGATGTTGATTTATAATTAATTTGTATCATGGAAAAAAAAAAAAATCTGAGTTAATAGCCATCCAGGCAATATTAGTAATCAATGAAAGTAATTTATTTAATATTTCGAAAAAGTAGATTTGAAACACGCGACTTTATTCTAATCATGAAAATTTATACCAGTGATAAGGCAAGAAATAACCATGAATGTAAGTAGTCATTCAAATTCAGTAACATTATTCTCAAATATTGCCTATCGATCCCATCATCTATAATGGGAGAGAAGGTGGAGGCTGATCATGCGTCCTTGGGCCATGATAATCTATGTCAAAGCTTTCTTCCCAGAAAGGAGCTGGAAAATTCAATTGGACAGAAGGTGGAGGTTGATCATGCGTCTTTGCGCCATCATAATCAATGTGATCAAAACTATGTTCCCAAACACGTCCTCCATAATTCAAAGGGTGAGAAGGTGGAGGTTGATCATGCGTCTTTGGGCCATCATAATCAATGTGATCAAAACTATGTTCCCAAACACGTCCTCCATAATTCAAAGGGTGAGAAGGTGGAGGTTGATCGTGTGTCCTTGGGCCATTATAATCTACGTCAAAACTGCCTTCCTTACCACCTTCATACTTCACACCGCCATGAAGTGCATGATCTTGATTATCCTTGATACCCACTGTTGAAAATGTTCTCGGATTCATTGCAGACAACGCATCTCCATTCCCTGCAAATATAAGTTAGTGTCCTGTGATATATTACACATACACACACACTTTAATGAACAAGAAAAATAAAATAAAATTTGAATGTTATCTACTTGTAGGTGGAATAAGGTTCCGAGCAGAGCAAATCATTGAGGTCAACAAGCAAAAGAAGAGTCGAACCATTCTGTGTGTTTTCAGAACTGTCATGGCAGCAATTTCTAGTTGAAAAGAAGAGTGTTTACTGTTTAGGTTAGAGAGTTCTGTGCCTGCTCAAATAATGACTAATCTTGTTGTGTTATTATTAATTTATGTAATTAGGGGAGTAATATCCAGACTTGATTAGCCAAAAAAATTCAACACAAGAAAAAGGAAACAATCTGATAATTAAGAAGGTAAATTGGAATATTCTTATTCTATCACTCCTTCCATCCAAATAAATTCTCTTCCCTAACTTTTCACATATATTAAGAAGATTATTAATTACTATTTATATCATTATTTTTTTTGTTTACACTTTTCTAAAAATATTTTTTTTGTTATAAAATAAATAGAAATAATAGGAGAATTGAAGAAAAGGATGATAAGAAAACGAAATCACTATAATGTGAATATAAGTGATAAGAACTTCAAAGTTTCTCTTATTCTCTCTAGGAAACTTGTACACAAACTAATGAACAATCAAGCCTATTTATAGGCTTCAAAATTGAAGAGAGAATTGGAAGGGACTATGAATAATCAATTGCATCACCCTTTCAATTTCTTATATTGAATGATGAATTGAATCATATTAAGAATCATGATTAGTGGGGATATGAAAAGTGGATGAGCATGATGATGGACATTCATTATTGCATAACACTCCCCCTTGAATGTCCATTGTATAAGGAACATGCATCGTTAAAACCTTACTAGAAAAAAACACGGTGGGAAAAAAATCCTAATGAAGGAAAAAGAATACAATATTCCTTGTACACATTAATCTTCATTTTGGTCTCCTCCTCGTTGAAGGCATTATTTAAGATCTTTAAGACGACGCATTCCAATCTTGTGAATCATCTTCTCAAAAGTTATGATAGGTAATGCTTTAGCGAATAAATCTATCTGGATTGTCACTTTGATGTATTCTTCCTTCAATGAAATTATGCAAGCGACATTATCCTCATATGATATTGTTGTAACTTCTTTTCATTGGTAGATAAACCGCATGTATCTCGAATATGATGGATCGTTGATCTTAGCCAAACACATTCTTGACTTGCCTCATGGATTGATGTTTCTGCATGATTTGAAGATGTGGCGACTATAGTTTATTTTATAAAACACAAAGACATAGCTGGATCTCCATATGTAAATATATAACCGAGTTGTGATCGAGCTTTGTGTGGATCGGATAAATAACTCGCATCCGTATAATCAATTAATCTTATCTTTGATTTATTAGAGTAATATAAGCCCATATCAATTATTCCTCGAAGATAACGTAGTATCTATTTAACTTTATTTCAATTTCTCTATACTTGAAACAAAACTATGACTTACTAATAAATTTATAGAAAAGACTATATTAGGTCGAGTATTATTAGCAAGATATATCAATGCACCAATGGCACTAAAATATAGTACTTCGGGACCAAATAGTTTTTCGTTATATTATCGAGTTCGAAAAGGATCTTTTTGGATATCAAGTGAATGAACTACTATTGGGCTAGTCAATGAATGATCTTTACATAGAATCATTGTAGAACCTTTTTCTATATAAATTGACTGATGAATGAAAATCTTATTTTTCGAGTGCTCGAACTGCAGTCGAGATAACATTTTATTTTTCCAAGATATTCACATTAAATTGCCTTTTTTAGGTAACTTATGACACTTGGAATCTCTTTGGGAGTTCCAATAATATTTAAGTTATCAACATATACAACAAACCCCTTTTCAAATAAAAACATATGAACAAATAGGGTTATTTTTTATAACTTTCTTTCAACAAATAATCATTGAAGTGATTATATCACATGCACATGAGTTAGTAATAAAAAGTAGATATAAAAATAAAATATAAAAAGTATAAATTGAATTTCTAAAAAACAAAATAATAAAACAAATACTAAAATAATCCTAATAGAGATCTCTATAATTTAATTGAATTCTTTTCTCGAGATTATGTATTACATGCTTCGGCATGTTAAGTCCTTCTAGGACTTTCATATCGATATCATTTCAAATGAATAAATAAATTATGATCACATTTATTAAATACATACATATGAATATTTTTCATATATTTTGCCGAGCTAATGAGATAATAAAATATAATTGCATCCATTATAGGAGAATATGTCTCCTCATAGTCAATGTCAGTTCTTTGCAAAAACTCTTGTGTTGAAAACTTTGCTTTGTATCTTACAATCTCATCTTTCTTATTTCGTATTCGTATAAATACTTATTTGTATCTCACTAGCTTAACATCTTCGGGTGTTTTAGCTATGAGTTCAAAAAATTACTCTTTTGTAGGAGAACATAATTATGCTTGGATTGCTCTTTTTATTTAGGCCAATCATCTTTATGTCGACATTCTTCAATAATTTAGGCTCGGGATCCTTATTTTCATCCATAATATCAATTGCAATATTATATGCAAAATCTTATCAATAGATGTTTCTTTTCGGTCCTATTTTCTCCCTCCATTGATATAATTTATCAAAATCTCTTGATTTTTCTTAAGTATTTGGACTTCTTCGGAAGCCTATTATCATAAATATATTGGACCATTTCGCGATTATTTTCATCTTGTTTTTTTTTTAAGGGATTTTTATCTTTAGAATCGATTTGTCTTTCACGCTTCGGGCGTGCTTTAAATTCGTTAGCTATAATATTAATAGATTGTCATTCTAGGACATCAATTCTAATAGAAGTATTCTCAACGAAGACATGCATTTTATTTACTCTTTTATGATGTGAGAATACATTTAGCAGTTGATTTATAATACCTTATAAACGAATTATCTTGTGAACTTCTAGTTCATATTGTTTTGTACCAAATCGATATAAAGATAGAGTACTCCATGTAATCTCTTTTTTCAACAATTTCAACTACTTATTTTGTGTATTCTCTCCCCCTAATGTTGAAAAAACTATTTCATCAAAATGACAATCGATAAATCAAGTCTGTAAAAATATCACTTATTCATGATTCAAGATATTTAATTATAAAAAAGGATTCAAATCCAATATATATTCTCAATTTCCTTTAAGTGCCCATTTTATTTTCTTATGAAGGAGCACTAAGGATATACACTGCAATGTCAAAAAATTCTTAAATAAGAAATATTTGACTCATGACTATAAATCAACCGTAGAGGAGAGAATTTCTAATAACTTATGGGTCATATGCGAATAAGTGTTGCTGCACATAAGATTGCATGTCCCTAAACATAAACAGGGAGTTTTATTTTCAAATAATGGTTTAGCTATCAATTGGAGCCTTTTGATAAATGATTTTTCTAAGCCTTTTTTAGTATGAACATGAGCAACGGGATGTTCAACCTTTATTTTAATAGCTAATCAATAATAATTTAATGCTTGAGAAATAAATTCATCAGCATTATCAAGGTGACTTGTTTTAATAGCATAATTTGAAAATTATGCTCGAAATCAAATTATTTTCTAACAATCTCAAAAACGTCGAGTTTCGAGTAGATAATAAGCATATATGTGACCATCTTGTTGATGCATTTATCAAAATCGTAAAATATTTAAATGGTCCACATGGTGGATGAATTGATCTACATATATCATCTTGAATACATTCTAAAATACCGAAGATTCAATCTTAATTTTACTTGATGATGACTTAATCATCAATTTGCCTTAGCAACATGCAGAATATGAAAGTTCATTAAATTGAAGAATCTTCTAGCTCTTTAATAGATATTCATATAAATTTTTTAATAATTTTTTCGCATCATGAAAGACCCAAGATAACACAACTGGTCAAGTCACATAGTAAAAGTATTTGAATTAGTAAACTTCGGTTTATCATAATATTTGTTTCAATCATTTCAATGTTTGTAATAAAGACTAGAAGAGAAAACAGATAAATTTTTTGATAGATATTTTTTACCCGATATAATGATTATAATATATAAGTATTCACATATGCTATCTTGATATGATATCAATTCGGATGAATATTTTTGAAACTCAATAAATTTCTATAAGACTTTGAAAAGAATAGTACATCATTCATAATAAATTTATCCTTTCGGATAATAACATATTTGCTCTTCTAGAGCCTTTAAATTAGTCACTTCAAGTAATAATATATCGACTCTTCTAGAGCCTTTAAAAATTTTCTCTTCAAGTAATAATTTATTCACTCTTCTAGAGCTTCAAAATTTTTTCTTTTCAAGTCATGATATAATCGCTCTTCTAGAGCCTTCAAAATCTATCTCTTTAGATAATAATATAGTCGCTCTTTTAGAGCTTTCTATTAGATTAATATTATCATATATAATATTACACATAAAATAAATAATCAATACAAAATAAATAAATAAATATATTTCTCGTAAACACAAATAAATAAATAAATAGTAAAATAAGAAATATAAAAAATTTTATCTATAAATAGAAAAACTAACAAGTAATTAATTTCAATTACTATTATTTTGATATATAAAAGTGGCCTTCATATTTTACTCTTTATTTTTTAATAAGGCTTGACAAGCCTCAATGCGATGCTTTGGTATATGACAGTTACACGATCAATATTTATTCATTCAACATCTATAATATTTATTTTTCAAGTATACTTGACTTTATCTATTTTTACTTTTATAGTTATCCACTTTTGGTGGTGAGATGTAATATTATGGTCATTACGATTATAATGATAATTATTTTGACCATATCCATGGCTATGACCACATCTTCATCCATGTCTAAAATTATTATAAACCGTCATATTCACTTCGTGGAATAGAGTAGATCCAATTGGATAAGATTTATTTATTTTTTCATTTTATTTAGCCACTAATAAGTATAAAATCGATCCAAAATATTTCTTAAACTCCTTTTCTCGATATGTTACTCGCAGGAGCATATCCAAGACATAAAAAGTAGAGAATATTTTTTTAAAATCAAGCACTCATAATCAATAATTCTTATTCAAAATATCAAGA